ACAAGTCTTGCAGATCTGGAGGTAACTCTCCCTCTGATAGCCCCAGGACTGATCCCTTGACCCTTCTCGCTCTCCCACAAGTCAGTCATCTCCAACTGTTTCTTTGGAGTCTGGGGTGCTTTGAGACTCTTAGGCTTGGGGGGTGCCTTCTTGGTGAGTGTCTTGGGAGGGGACGTCTTCTTGGTGACTGTCTTGGTGGGGGCCTCCTCCTTCTTCTTCTGTTTCTTTGGAGAAGTCGTGGCCAGGGTCCCCTGGGGAGGTGACGTCATCTTGGTGGGTGCCTTGGGAAGGGCGGGTGGAGACCTTCTTCTTCTTCTTCTTTGGAGAAGTCTTGGCAGGCGGGTCTTGGGAGGTATTCTTTTCGAGGCACGGGCTTGGGCGCCATGTCGGTGACCTCTGGATCATTGGAGAACAAAGGTAGAGTGCAGGTGGCATATCGAAGATCATAGCTGGGTGGGTGAGGCCAGAGTTTCACCTGGAGTTTGGCCAACAGCTTGCTGTACAGCACACCATGGTCATAGGTCATAGGACGTCCATTCCTCAACTTGAACACGATGTGGAACAGCTTGTTGAGGAAGGTCTCCCCTGCATTTTCCTTGGCATGTGCATCGCTGATACCGATGAGGATCAAGCTTAACAGAGTTGTTGGCGCTTGTCGGAGAGGATACGCAAGTGGTCTTGGTGATACGCCATCCAGTAATAGTCTTCCTCAGTCAACTCACAGAAGCGACCCATCATGCCATACAGTGTTTCTTTTCGGCTGAATATCTGCCAGCTTGCGGATGATCGACGGCAACTTTTGTTCCATCACACGCAGCCGGGTCCTGGAGATCCATGTAGTTGGTCTTGTATAACTGGCTTTGAGTCATCATGGTGTTGTGGAGATGGGCCATGTCAGAAGCGAGGTCCTTTGCCCGCGGCCAAGTTGACGGCGAAGAAGGGAGGTTGCCTGGAGATGCCATCTGCAACGACTGAACTGATGCAACTGATGACCCGCCGATCGATCCTGCGTTTTTATAGGCAACACCAACAGCGCGAGCTATGACGCCACTTCAAATGACGCCACTTCAAATGGCGTCACGATCGTGTTGTTTCTGGATGGCCTCTTGCACGGCTTTTCTGAACTGTTCTATAAAGTGTCTCTTTCTAGATAGGTGGCAAGCACAAAGAGCAGCGTGAACAGCATGATGACGAATCACGATGGGGTCAGAGTCTTTTTATAGAGATACACAGGATGACGTCACGTGGCGCGTGCATGGATGACGTCACGTGGCTCGTGCATGGATGACGTCATTGGAGTTGGTCCATGGATGACGTCACTCACAACAACAACAGCGTGTCACGAAGATGCATGAGCTTTTCCCAACTTGTTTTTCCCCGACCATGTCCAGGGTTTGTCAATATTCGGATGAGATACACCCATTCCTATTCCCCATCGTTGATCGTAGGGGCTAGCTTCAGCTAACGACTTTGGGTAGGATTGAATCAATCTCTGTTTCAAGTCCTTGTTCTGGGAAAATTTAGCCGCGATCGCCTTGGTCATCACTTCCAGACTGACCGTGTCCCACACTGTTTGAGTGAAACCTTTCACACATCGCCCCAGACGTTTTGCTTTGCTGGAACAGCCTCGCAGCAAATACGCTGCCGCACTGTCGTAATCTCCAAAGTACATGGCTTTAGAGTACATGTAACACTGTTCAACACAATTAAATGTAACACCATCCAAGGTAAACACAGCTGGATGAAAGTTGCTGAACGGTGACTGGATTCCATAGAAGAATAGCCAGGGAGTGTCACTTGTGACTGTGCCTTGTCCGTGGGAGTCTTGAGACCCAGCAAGGTCATGGCTTCTGTTTCTCCACATTCCTCCAAAGCTTTGCAGAAGAGGGAGTAAGCTTGGGGTCCACGTCGGGAAGCATGTCTAACAATTCTCTGACACGGTCAAAGGAGGTCCGAGGTTTTTCGATAATCTCTGCCTTCATGAGGATGGTCAGGACTTTAAACGCCATCAGTTTGTCGACCACGGCTTCGACCTGCTTGATAGCTTGCAGCACGAGACCACAACGATTCTCCCTAAGCCTATCGCAGTGAACGGATTCCATCCTTCTTTCTTAGACAACAGAATCTGTAATGACTCTGACAGAAACGTCTCTTTATATAGACACACAGGGTCGTGATGACGTCATAGGGTGTGTGACGTCAACGTGACCGTGGTCTCCACCAGGTCTGAGTCTAAGAACAGGGTACAACAGGATTGAGGGTGACCATGGACTCCACCAGGTCTGGCCCTGAAGAGAGAGAGAGACGACATAACACAAGAGTACAATACAATCACAATTTATTGAATGATAGAACAACAAATGAACAAGGCAATCACATTTTATGGGTTAAACATCAATACATCAGAGCATGTCTGCATCAAAAGTCCATGGAGGGATGGGTTCACTCTTTATAGCCATAGGGGAGAGTTTCCCTGGGGACGCCTTTGGGGGTCGTACTGCACTCGGCGTTTGGTGTAGACCAAGCGATAGGTTTTGGTGGTGTCCTTGGACAGCAACACGCTGCCCTGACGAAGTCCTCCGCGAATGATGCGGTGTGGGTACGGGACCGTGATGTTGGCTTGATCCTCTGACAGACGAGGTTCTTCATGCTGTCAAAGTGGACATGTTGGCTCGCCCCAGATTTAAAGTAAATCCTCGGACCTTGCTGATGCCCACACTGCCGTCAGATTGAGGATGGCGCAGCTTGTAGCCATAATTTTGGGTCCTGCCGAGACAAAGGTTTGAATGCTGTTGCCCCCTCCCAGTTCATCAGTCAGCTCTCCCAAGGTATCTCCCAGTGGCGGGTTGTAACTTCGTGGACGGTGAATGTAAATGATACTGTCCGTATCAAAATAGAGGACACGTCGATCCAACGGTTGCAAATAAGAATACAACTTGAGACGGGCTTGTGCTGTCACCCAGGCTGCAATGGCCACATTGTGGGCTGGATGAGGGTCGTGAAAGTCTGCCTGAGGTTCATGAGTGACACAGATGAGGTCTTCATTGATGATGTTAATGTCTTTCACCACACGGCGCTCATCCCGAGGAGGGCAAAGTACCTCTCAGGGGAACTGATATATTCCGCCTTGGCAAACCCAACGCTGCTGACCAAACTTGCCCCAGTGATTTGTTCAGACAGGCCTTGGCTAAGGCACGTAGTCCTGGGTTTTGTGAATGCGAGCAGGATCCAAGGTGACTCCTCTTCTGCTGTATCTCGTGGATGTAGGCGCTTGGGTCTGGACAACCTTCGGGTAGCCACTGGCCTCTTGCTTGATTTTGAAGAAATTGTTGACATACTTGGCAAACAGTCCTCCCTCTTGGGTGTCAGGGTCGTAGGTGGCAAGCGTGTCAAAGTGCCAAGCCTCAAAGATGTGAAGCACTTGATAGCCGCACTTTTCAACAGCAAACTGAAGCTCTTTGCTGACGTAGGTACCGATCCATGCCCGGTCTTCATCCCCGTGGGGGCAGGAGCATCCAACTGCTCTTCAGCACACGTACGGCACAGCGGAAAGAGCAGTTTGCCTTGACACTTGTAAGGAAGAACAGGATGATAGAGGTCGGTGGGTGGCAAGACTCGGCACTGGATCAGGCCGTGGAGCTCAAACAAGTCAGACACGGAGGATGATCTTTGATCTCGGGTGTCCCACGGAAAAGTACCATACTTGCAGATGTAAGGGTACAGCGAGCAAACGTCCACATATTTGATTTCTTCATCTTCTTTGGCTTCAGTAGTACAGTTTGGTGGCGTTGGTACGACCTCCAAAGAAAGCATCTCTAGGATTCAACGGATCAGGCATGTAGGCATGGGGTCCTTGCAGGGTAGTCAGGAAGGCTCTCAGATCACCGTTGTCTTTCTGTTGTTTCAGAAAATCGCATTCCCAGAGGGTCACCACTTGGTCGATGTCGGGATGTTGACGTAACACACCCAGGCGGTACATGGTATGATGGTATCGTTCCCAAGGGGTGGTACCCAAGCTAGTATGGCGTTCACATCGGTCCGTCTTGTAACAGCGAGTACATCCATGCCAGAAACAGCCCAAGTATTCATACACGGTACGTGTCTTGGCGTCGTAGCCATCTGCCATGTAACGACTTCCGTCAGCACAGTCAAAGCCTACTTCTCCACCATTCCGAGCATGTTGATGTGGACCCCAGGGTGTTGATGCATGACCCAGTTGAGCCAGTGGAGACACTGAAGCGAGTAGCGACGCTGGGGACGATAACCTTGAGTAGGTAGGATGGCGATGGTACGGGGTTCCAAAAACTGTTTTCGGAAGGTGAGCATGCAAGCCATGGGTAGAGTCACTGCTTCATAGAAAGGGTCCACGTTGTTCTGTTGAATGAATATGTTGCGGAATGCAGCACAGCCTCGACGCAAAATGTCCACATCACTCTGACAGTAGGTCAACAATTCTTCATCCAGATCAAACACAGTCCCTTCAGCCACCCGTGCATCGTACCAGGCCAAGAAAGCTTTGCGTTCGGCAGAAAACATGCTGTCAGGATCGTAAGTAGACACGGGAGGATAAGGACCCACATAGCCTTGGTGAGCTTCGGTGTTGAAGAAGTGAGGGAAGTAGCCTTTCTTGAGTTCCGTCAAGGCAAACGTTTTTGGAAACTGCTTCAGAGCCATCGTGAGGAAGTTGAGGGAATCCTTGAAAACAAGACGTCCCACGGTCATCTGCAAGATGTGATTCCCACGTAGTGTGACCTGGGGTGCTTTCACGAGATGTTGATGGAAGTACTGTTGGAGCAAGTGTCCATCATACCCTCGGTAGTTGTGAGCAATGACCAACACGTCGTCATCATCAAGGGTAGGGGAAATGTCGCCTTCGCCGCCTTGTTCTTTGTCGCCGTTGTCTTGTTCTTCATCATCATCATCATCATCGGTTTCTGGTGATACCAGTTTGGGTTGTTTCGAGGCACGGCCTGACGGCTGCTGCTGCTGGGATGCCTTACGTTTCTTCTTCTGCTTCTTTCTTTTCCACCAGGGACATCAGCCAGTCGCCCATGTCCTTCAAGGTCGTCGATCCTCGAAACACTTTGATGCGGCTAGGCCCTTCTCCTTCCTTACGCCAGGGCACTTGTCACACAGCTGATCCGAGGCCTCGAAATACATTTTCCACATCCTAGATGCACCACACACAAGTTGGGAACATGAGTTCCTTTGATCTTGAGTACATTCAAAGTCATAGAAGATGAACTGACGCTGTTGTCGTTCTTTGTCTTCATCCATTTTTTCACCGTCTTCATTTAGTTTCGGTGGTTCGATGACGGACATGTAACACTGGTGGTTGGGTTTCAAGGGTTCTTTGCAGATCTTACAGTCCCAATTCGTGCCACACTGGTGGTTGGCCATGCCCTGAATTTTCCTCACGTTGACTTTGGCATAGCAACGATGACAGGTGTGGATGGTGGAGCAGGTGCTGGGATGGTTGGCGGAGGCCGTCCGATGGCGTTCAAAGCAGGTAGGGTTTCGGAACCATCCGCCACATTGGAGACAGGAGAGCCCTCCCCTGACCACGTCGCCACAGTATCCAAGACATTGGCACCAGTAACATCGAAATTCTCGGGTGCAACGATGATCTTCAGCGTGGGCGTAGCCTTGGTCACACGTCTCACAGTAGTAGGGATACCCTGTGAAGGCAGTCATGGAGGTAATGACATCGTAATGGTGATGGTGATGATAGAGGTGAAGGATCTTGGTGGGTTGAGGCACTTCACTCTTGTACAGGAGGCGATTCAACACCTCTTGGGAGTAGACTTTGAGCTGATAGTAAGGGGCCAAACGTTGACTGAACAACTCCCACGTGGCACGCCCTGTACAAGGACCTTCGGGGATCTTGAGTTGGCGAAACAAGCCCTTGGCAGCCTTCAGTTGCGCTGGTCTTTCTGCCTTACGTATGTACCGCCATTCCTTGGTCCATTCCTTGGTCACAGGATCGGGTTGGTGTGCGTGGTGACTGGCCACGACCAGGGCACGGGCAAAGCAGAGCTGATCCTCATTCTTGATTTGAACGATGCATTGTTTCTTTTCCAGGAAGGCGTTTAAGCCAACGAGGTGTGTTGGCCGGCCGTGTCCCTCACCGATACGATCAGGATCCTCTACATGCAGTAAGAAAATGTCCATGGTGTCATCGATATGTAAGTCGTGGTTGCTTTGTTGTACTTTTTCCACTTCGCCCATGATGTGTTCCCCCTGGAGGTCACCCATCCGCCGAAACGTGATTCGGATGTCTGTATCCAGGGCGGGGTGTTCCAGGGCCAATCCCACGCGATCACCATCCTGGCCACCCACATCGTCTCTCAAATCTGCTAACACGGCATCAAACTGTTCTCTGAGAACGACGGGAAGGTCTTCAGGCTGTTGACGCTGCAACCAAACAGGGTTGAACTTCAGGTGGTAGCGCTGAGTACCAGTCCGGAATTTCTTGGTGGTTTTTTGAGTCGTCCGCTCCAACTCGTAGGGCACAGGCTCCTCTTCAAGTTCATCTTCGTTCATTCGTGGTGACGACATGGTGAGAACTGGTCAGACCCACGCTGAGCCTGGTTTATATACATCACGTCACCCTATGACGTCACAATAGGCCGTGCCAGTGCGCACCATGAGCTCATGTGTTATTTATAGGAATGATGTCATACCCCATGACGTCACACTAACCTGTTGAGTCAGGAGGAGAGTGGTGCGAACCGGATGCAACCGGTGCGAACCAGAGGCGTCAAAGTGACGTCATCAACCCCAGCTATATAAATTCAAGGTTTTCCAGCACTCCTCATCAGTTGCTCACTGAAACTGGAAGCATGCAGTCGTCTCCCGCCTCCGCCTCCGCCTCCTTCCGTTGCCGCCTGTGCGAAACAGATGACCACAGTTATCTACACTGTCCCAAGGTGACCTGTACCGAGTGTGGTGATCAAGGTCATCGCTATTACGTATGTCCCAAGAAGACCAAGGACAACAACAAGCACGATAACAACACCTGCTACAACTGTGGAAGAAACGAAGGTCATCTCAGTTACGCCTGTCCACATCCCTGCCGTCACTGTGGTGAAGAGGACCATAAGAGTATGTACTGCTCTAACAAGGGCCAGAAACGTCCGGCTCCCCCCACCTACCAGCCAAGTGAACCGCCAAAGAAAGTGAGTAAACGTGAAAGCCAACATTTACTGGCTCTACTCCATGACAAGGTTCTCCTCGTTCAAGATCGCATAGACACCATGTACTCTCTACTTCAACGCATCTTGGAGTTTGTCGAACCCATGGACGATTCCAGTAGCAGTGCCTCCAGTGCACCACCATCACCACCATAGATACCTCGGTGATCTCTCACCCACTCATACCAACGGCCCTTTTCAGGGCCACCCACCTGGCTCGAAAGAATGCTACATCCAATGTTGTTTTAACCACACACACACACTAACACTTGTCTAGCCACGCCATCGTGTCCGCCTCACCCCTCTCTCCCTTCCCTCTCCTTTTCCTCTCCTTCCCTTCCCTTCCCTCTCCGTCCCGTCCCGTCCGCCGCTCGTCCGTTCCGCCATCTTGAAAGGCGTCTACGCTCGCGAGATCCCGCGAGAATCCACGAGATCCCGCGAGATCTCACGCGATCCCACCGGATGGGACGCCATCTTGAAACGCGTCCGCCATCTTGGCCCGGAGGTGACGTCATCGTCATGTGCGCGCACCCACCGGAACCGGTCGTGACGTCATCGCGATGCGTGCGCACCCACCGGAACCGGAAGCACCGGAACCGGAACCCGAGTGATCTCCCCTGATGGCGGCACATCCGGTCACCGTGGGTCGCCATCTTGATCCAAGATGGCGGCGCCCATGGGGACCGGATGTGCCGCCATCTTGAAAAAGACCCCAGGGTGACGTTGCACACTACTAACGTGACGTTGCACGACACTCGTATCAATGAACTGAGTCGGTCCGTGTTGATCAGACGTATTTTGAAAGAGAATGACGCCCTGATGTCACAGGACAGTGCATGGAACGCGGTAAACAATCCTTACGATAGACGTGCGTACGAACGCGTTTGTGGTGATGTTACCTGAGGGTGTCGGGGTGTTCTACCCTTCTCCCTAGGCAATCTGGCTATCCACTCTGGTTCTGGGGATGATGTAGCTAAGATGGATAGTCAAAGATAAGTCCGGTATGTTGTTCATGTCCATTTATTTTGGCATGACTTCTCGCACAAAGGTCCTCAGATATTGCCTAGCATTCCTGGTCTACACTGACTGACTGACTGAGTTTAGTTTTACGCCGCTTTTAGCAATATTCCAGCAATATCACGGCGGGGGACACCAGAAATGGGCTTAACACATTGTGCCCATGTGGGGAATCGAACCCGGGTCTTCGGCGTGACGAGCCAACCCTTTAACCACTAGGCTACCCCACCGCCCCTCCTGGTCTACACACAACATTAGATCACAAACTTTCTGGAAGAACTTGTTGGTTTCTTGCACAGCTCCTCAAGTTACAAGTTCATCTGAGCCCTTCTCTCAATATTCAGAGAGAACCTCTCAAGTAAACGGTGGGGCCTAGAATCCCTTCTCTCTCCCTCGACATGTGACAAAACTGTTCTCTTACAATTTGGGCTCCTCCCACCGAAATAATATCCTCCTACGTCATACACAAATGACTCATATCCAATCATAATAAGTAGTTACTTCCATTAGTCCCTTTAGGATACTTTATTTGGTACCATCAAATTCTTCTAGTCATGAAATGACATTGCCAGTTATTCTTAAGCCATACATCAACCAAACGTTGACATATCTAACTGATATTTCAGACTGGTAGGCGTCAGAAGATTCATAATCAAATCATTTCAGATCCTATGCGTGCCCCTTTAGTGACAAACTGACCAAACTGACCATCTGTATCCCAAATTTCCATCCACCCAATTGTGTGGAAACACCAGTTTGAACCTATCACCCTCATTAATGTCAATTCAGAGAAATTGTTATTCCCCAAGAAAAGTGAATCAATAAGAGTTTTGTTAGCTTGGTCAATGCACTTTCCCAGTACATTCACCCTTCTTAACTTGACTTCAAATTTTCCTTAAATATTTATAAAATGTATATAATGTTTTCAACTCTAAATATCCTGGTTATACATGCCCCACCTGTTTTAGAGCATGTCCCATGCGACTGATAAATGGCTTAAGCTCCAACATACATACAAATATATCAAATACATAACAATTGTAAAGATTTGTATACACATCAATAAGTCAAGAATACAATATCAATGAGGACTAACAATTAAGTAACTATATATCAGAGGACAAGAAAACGCAAAATTCAAATACAGAAAAATGTCTCAGATAGGATCTGTCTTAGGTTGTACCTATCTGAGAAATGTAACAGACAGGTTAGAGCAAATAACATTTTTAACAATTACTGATTGAATATAATAGATGCAAACAGTATTGGTATTAAAAATCAAATCAAATATCGAAAGTTTGGAATCTTGAACATTTTCTTCTTTTTTTTCTTTACAAATCATGATAGTTTTACAACACCATATTATACACCCAGATTATAAATGTACAAAGCATGCAACATCAGAATACAATATGGAATCATTTAAAGATGAGGACACTAGTCTGTCTGAGTTCACATAAGTTTGTAAAATGAATTAGATTATTCAAAGTCACATCAGCTTTTCAACGGAAGTCATTACAATGTTCTCCTGTCTTGAAGGAACTTGACATTTTATCTTGTTTGAGTTACTGTTGTACAAGGTGGTGGAGCAGGAAGTCAACCTGACTCATTAATAAGCATTGGATGTTGTTCATATCTATGTATCAGTGAGACAAACATTAATAAAATTATGAGTCCAAATAAGCATCCCTATTTGACATAAGAAGTTCCTGATAGCCATTGCATTTCCCATATCTAGTTATTCATTGAGATAGGGTCAGTTGGTATATGTAAATTATCTTATTCTCTTTTATTAACTTTATGGCTCTTGAAAACACTCTCTCGAATGACTTTTCTTGATAAA